ATCAATTGTAATAATTCTATCGCAATTCATTGTAAACTCTAGAATATTCCATGATATCATGTGGCTTACTGTTTTAATAATTTTCAATTTATAACTGTTGTAAGTATGTTTGAGCGATAAAAATAAATATATATAAAGAAAAGGTGCAAATATATAAAATAAAAAACAAAAACCTAGGTGTGTTAAGACTTCTGCTTATTATAATAATATTATAAAAATCTGTAAATGTTTATAATTTTGTAAAAAAAAAAAATATATTAAAAAATGTTTGAGCGGTTTTATAATAAATATATTAGAGAATTGTTGTTCTAAATAAACTTTCCATAAAATTTGTAAATCAGAGTTATACTTAACGAATAAAAATTTATAGTTATACTTAAGCAACATTAGATTTTATAATAGCGCAAATATCCGCAACCACAAATAAGTTGTGAAGTAATGCGTCACTAAAAATAATTATATACTAAAAATAAGTATATATACAAGAAAGGTATATGTACATATGTGGCCCACATGTGGTCAAAGTGCTTTCGTGTGGATTAAAAGTTCAAAAATATATTACAGTTAATGAATGACGTATTTGATGAAGATAAGTGTGGCCCACTTATGGAACACATAATGTGGTTCACATAACTATTCCACTTAATGTGGCATAATCCTTAAATAAATATGTGCTAAATTTGATGTGGCTATCATATGGGCCATACATATAAAACTCACGATCTTGCCTCATTTTGAATTTTAAATTTTAACCAATTGCAATAAATTGTAAACTCTAGAATATTCCATGATATCACGTGGCTTACCGTTTTGATAATTTTCAATTCATAACTGTTGTAAGTATGTTTGAGAGATAAAAATAAATATTTATAAATGAAAAAGTGTAAATATATAAAATAAAAAACAAAAGCCTAGGTGTGTTAGGACTTTTACTTATTGTAATATACAATTTGTTATCATTACTAAACTATGTTTTTTTTAATGTGATTTTATGTGTGATTTAGATTATATAACGGAATATTGTTAAAAGAATAATATTTAAAACTATATTACTTATATACAGGGCCTTACCAAGGAATGTGTGTGGGCCCCCCTCCCCGACAAGAAAGGTATATGTGGCCCACTCTTCAGTTAGCTGTCATTTCTGTAAGCTTATAAAAAGATTTTATTAAAAACAAGCGTAAACAAGTTAATGAAAAAAATTTTAAATAATTATTTTGAATGTGAAAACGAAAATATTTATTTAAACATGGACTTACAATTATTGATTACAATCAACAAATGTAAGTTTAATAATTAATATTTAATTATTTAATATTTAAATAATTAATATAAAACTATTTAAGACATCAACACCTAGTAGCCAACCATTACTGCCAATACCACACCATGCTGTAAGTATTAAACATGTTGCTTGATAGCAATACTTTAAGTTAAAACTTGTTAAAGTTATTATTAGATATTAAAATTTGATGAATGATTAGAATGTTTTTCGAGAGATCCAACACCAAGGCAAATCTACTCAAAGCTTCGTGTCATTACCAAATGATACTGAAGAAATAAATTTACCTTCAGTAAGCTTTTTGTAAATTTCATTTCAGTAATTATAAGTTTGGTGTTAAGTAGAATCATAATTAATGATCATTAAATTAAAATATGCATAAATGTAATTAAACTAGAAAATTATATTTTTTAAATTGTTTATGTTGATATATAAATAATATATTTATAATATATTTTGTTGGAGTTATCTTAGGAGTTCTTGCCCATCCCTCACACCGAAAACTCCATTCACACCCTTACACCAATCACTCAGTCAATTGAATACCGATTGTCTTCCATTGAAAACCTATTTAAAGGTGAAAAATCTTTTAAAGTACATATATTAATTTGTCTTTCTTTAAAATACTTATAACAATTTCATTTGATTAGATTTAGTAAAATTTGTAACTTCTGCGACAAAAGAGATTAAAAATCTGACAGAGCGTATGCCAATAGGTCATACTGAAGAAATTTTATTCAAGAAATCAAGTAGCATAAAAGAGTTAAATGCTGTGTTGTTGCAATGCCAGGATGAAGAAATAGCCTCACTTTTTGCAAGTTTTACTTAAATATTATTGAAAAACTTTTAAACTAAAACTCCGGTTGCATCAATTGAAAATCAATTGAAAAATTAAATATTTAACTTTTATTTATATAATATAAAATTTTATTTTTATATAACTTTTACTCATATATAAATTTTATTTTTTAGTAATCACTTATATATTTATGTATGTATTTATGCACCTTTGTGTACTTTTAAATTGTTCACTTTCTTTTTCTGAATGTAGATTAACTGGCTAGCAACAGCAGGTGGAAAATATATATCTGATATGGCTCGAAACATTTTGAATGTTTTCATGACTGATGAGTTACAAATGAGTTGTTGTTGTTCTGGAAAACGCTCAAACAAATAAATTTTGTAAATTTATTGCAAGTAAGTAAAGTAGCTATTCCATTAGAGTTCACCGTTTGTCAAATTTCATACTTATTAATAAAGTTGACTTTAACCCTTAATAAATAAACTATTTTGTATCAACAAAATATTAAATAACAATAAACTAATTTTAGTTGCTGTTCGAAGGCATTGCAAAAATGCTACAGACAAAGATGTCAATGAAGCCATCACCGCTGCACTGCATAACTCAGCAGATCGTGGTCGTAGACGTATGCATCGAGAGAAGAATGAATAAATAAATTTAATGAAATGTTATTGTATACTTATATGTTTGTAAATGAATTTATAACAAAAAGCAAGAAGAATATTATTTTTCATATATATAAACATATATGATTTGAATGTTGACATCTTGTATGAGAGTATATATATATATATATATATATATATATATATATATATATATATATATATATATATATATATATATATATATATATATATATATATATATATATATATATATATATATATATATATATATATATATATTATATATATATATATATATATATATATATATATATATATAGATATATGTGTGTGTGTGTGTGTGTGTGTGTGTGTGTGTGTGTATCAATTTTCCAGTAAAAATGTAATGCGACTTTCGTTCTTTTTCGGAGTGGTTTTGAGCAATATAAGTATTATAGCCATAATGTGGAGTGGTAAATATATGGCTAGTATATGCTTCCTACACGTGGGCCACATGAACCTTTGCGAACAAATGAAGCGTGGCTTTCGTTTTTATTTAGTGTGTTTTTAGTGGGATAATCATTATAGCTACATATGGGACGTATCAGCGCTTTCCCATAAAGGATAGTGGTAAATATATGGCTAACATGTGCTTGCCACACGTGGGCCACATGAAACTTTCACGCAAAAATGAAACGTGGCGTTCGTTCTTATTTAGTGTGGTTTTAGTGGGATAAACATTATAACCACATATGGGACGCATCAACGCCATCCCATAAAGGAGAGTTGTAAATAAATGGCTAATATGTGCTTACCACACGTGGGCCACTTGAAACTTTCACGCAAAAATGAAGCGTGGCGTTCGTTCTTATTTAGTGTGGTTTTAGTGGGATAAACATTATAGCCACGTATAGGACGCATTAACGCCATCCCATAAAGGAGAATGGTAAGCATATGGTTAGCACGCAAATGACATATATGGCCTACATTAAAAGTTCTTGTCTGGAAAAAATGCGTTTTTTTCATAGTCGCTAAATAGAATTTGAGTTGCAGGAGCCAATTCATCTAGAGGTTCAAAATTGTCAATTTGGGACATGACAACGTGTTTAGCATTTTGCAAAGCACCTTGAGATCTGAAAAAATACCATTTGTATCTTGGATCGAGTAAAGTAGTAACTGAATAATGTTCTTTTTTTTCAATTGTTGAAAAACGTTTTTCCATTGCACTTTTCATAACAATTTTCGACTCCTGAACACTGATATCGCTAGAGATTGTTTCCATAGCTTTTATTTATTTTAATTAATTTTGATTGAACACTTTATAGATTATTTAAAATTGGGATAAAAGTTGGATTTTTTTTAATTAATTGTAATATCTAAAATATATATATATATATATCTATTTATAAAAAAGTTATAGGGGAAAAGGGGGCATAACCGCATATGGAGGCGCAACCGTTTTTCAAAGGAAACTTTCCTTCAATTTCCTTCAAAAAATGTTATCTAACATGGAAAAATATATATTAAACGTTAGTAAAACAGTTTCCTTCATTTTGCATATGTCAGAAAGAGTGCCTGTTACGTTTCTGAGAAGTTGTGCGTAATAATGTTTATTTTGATAAAAATATTATATTTACATCATACTTTTCCAGACCTTTTTTAGAGGATTAACAAATATTTGATTTTAGTGTTAAAGATATGTGTTATCAGCATTATTTCATCAAGTGAAGACCATTTTTGATATCAACATAACCTAATAAGCAAACTATGAAACTGTATTCCAGGGACTGTTAAAACAACGGGACGCGAAACTTCAAATTGATGCTAAAAGACGACAGAGCCGATTGTAAATGGCGATGCTAGTTTGATTTAACAAAGAAGTTATGAAAAACTTACATTAATCTAATTATATTCACATTTTTGAATACATTAAAGTGATATACATTTATATTACTAATATAATGTATATATTTTTCATCATTATCGTACTGATAAAATATAGGTTAATGCAATAGAAATATTGGAGATATTAACAACATTTTTCAAAAAAAACTTTTTTTTTTGAAAAAAATTGCTATTTTTATTGAAAAATCTAAAGTTTTTTAATTTTTGAAAGTAGTAAGATTAAAAAATTGTATTAAGTAGTTTTTAATTTGAGTAATTTATTTTAAGTAATGAATCTGTTAAGTGTTACAAAATGTTATGTCATATTTATAATAAATAATAATGGTGTTACTATTATAATAATAGTAACACCATTATTATTTATTATAAATATTTATTATAAATATTTATTATAAATATTACTAATAATAATTATTAGTTATAATCATGCCAAGACAATGTTCAATAGTTAATTGTACCAAAAATTATTTAACATCAACTTCAGAAGAAAAGCTTCATGTTTACATGTTTCCAAGTGACACACAAAAGTTACAATATTGGTTGTCATATATTCCAAATCCGTTTGAAAAAGTAACTTTAAATATAGGTGTGTGTGAAAAACACTGGCCACCAGGCTGCAAAATGCTCAAGCCTTCTCGATCAAAGTTTGAGGTAAACATCCTTAAAGTTGTTTTTATTGATATGTTTTACAATGACTAGTTTTAATAATATCTTTTTTTAGGTTCCTATTGATCCCCCATCTATTTTTCCTGGATGCACATCTTCAATGGTGCGCCAAACAATCTCAACACAACCAAGATCTACAAATATAAATAAAGTTTCTTTAACATTACGAAATGCAATACCTGATGAAATGGATGATTTCAATCAAATTGATTTAAATACATTTTATGATGTTGTAATAATGTTGTCTGAAATAAAAGAAAGGTAAAATTAATTTTTTCCCTTGTTTTATGATATTTGTTTGTTTTGATTTAAAGTTTACTTGTTATTAAATCTATTTTAGATATCCTTAATACTTTGCAATCATTGAAAATTCAAAAGTCTTATTGTTTGATGTTTCTCGATCATGTCTACCTGAAACAATATTTTCTGTTGAAATTAACTGTTATTCACGTCAAGTTAATATTTATTGTAGGCATACAAAAGTTAACTGATATGACCTGCTCAGTTTTTCTCATTGTCTTACTCGATGGTCACAGCTTGAAGCTATTGTCAAAAGAGTTTGTATCTCTAGCCCTGAAATAAAAGATGAGGTATTAAGTTTGATTAGTCAAATTGAAAATACATACAGTAACACTTCTGAAGAAATTTTTTTCCTCATTGAACAACTACGCCTCACCACTTATTCTCTAAATGGACTGCACTTTTCTACTTTATGTATACGTCGTGCACTTGAACTGTATTTGTCCTCCAGATGTTGTTATCGACATTTAAGAAGTCTGCTTTGTTTGCCCAGTCCAAAGTCCAGTCCAAAGACTCTCATTTCAAAATTAGGAAGAGTTGGAGAAGTTGGAAATGAAAAAAAGTGCAATAATACAATCAATGTTGTTTTTGAAAATTTTAATAGTCCTGAAAAGCGTTGCTGCCTTCTCATTGATGAGATGTATATTAAACCAAGTGTTAGTTTCAGAGGAGAACACCTCATTGGATATAGTGAGGACAATCCCACTAAAATTGCAAAAAGGTTGTTTGTCTTTATGATTAAACCTATGTTTGGTAAACCTTCTTTTGTTTTTAGAATTGTACCAATATTTAAACTGTCAGTACACTTTCTTCATGATTTGATTATAAACATAAATAAACAAATAATTGATGCAGGAGGAGAATTACTGTGTCTTTTATGAGATAACCATCCCACAAATCGAAGTGTTTACCAAAGTTTCGTTGTTAATAGAAGTTTTCCATGGCAAGGTGTTATAGAAAAAGAAAAACCAGTTATTATGGTACACGATCCAGTTCACTTGTTTAAAAGTATAAGAAATAATTGGTTTACGGAAAAAATACAAACAATTAGTTTAAAAATTAATAATCAACCTCTCTCGGGTGATTGGTCTCACATTGTTCAATTATATAACAGACAGAAAATTTGTGTTGCCAAAACTACAAAGCTTTCAGGCAAGTCAGTGTACCCTAGTTTGATTGATAGGCAATATGTTGCAAACATGGTTGCTGTATTTAATGAAAAAACTGTTGCAGCGTTGAGATTAGCTGATTTTGAGAACACTGCCTGTTTTTTAGCACCAATTGTTTCATTATGGAACATGCTAAATGTAAAGAGGAAAAGTTGTGATGTTTTACTTAATGATATCAATAGGTCTCCTTTCTAGACACTCGATGACCTTAGATTTAAAGAAATTTTAGCATTTGCTGATGCAACTTCTAAGATGTCAGAGGGAAAGAGATTAAAGCGTCATAATACTTTTACACCAGAAACAAAACATGCTTTAGTTAACACCCTACAAGGATTGGTAGAATTAATAAAAAAACTGCCTTCAAAAGATCACCAAATTTTGTAGATTTGAAATCTAAAAAACAAATATTTCTCTCATTTATTTAAATGTATTAATTTTTAACATACATAAGTTTAAAGATAGGTTTTTATTTGACAATTGCTGTTTTAACTATAATTTAATACTCGGTTCAACTCAATTTATTTGGTTTTATCTTTTTGCAAATTTTTTGCTTATTTGTAGACAACTAAGTGGCGGAAATTATTTTATCTCAGCAGAACAAGTATTGAACAGTTTGCACCTTCAGCGGTTAAAATTATTCAGAAAAATAGTTTCTTTGGATGAAACTGACATTCATTGCTTAGGCATACATTCAGACTGTTACACCATGGATCTAATGGAAGAGGATATTATTTATTTAGATGAATGTTTAATTAATGCAGACAATAAATCTATTGAAGATCAGGAGAATGCTGCCCTTTTTTTTATGGCTGGTTATGTACAGCACAAGATTTATCCGCAGCGTGTAGTTGATACAACAACATCACAATCAGCTAGTTCTGAATTTACAGATTATGTTTCACGTGGTAAATTGCATTATCCTGGTGATACTCTTCTCCAGTTTATTTGTGTTTGTTATCTACAGTTTAACAGCGTTCCAATATCTGAAAAACGTTTTCAATGTGTTGTTTATTTAAAGAAATTATTTTTATTCTTGCATTCAACATTACTATTTGAGTAAGAAACAGACAGTTTAGGTATTGCAAAAGTTATCTCGATAATATCTAACTGTTTCTTGAAAGGTGTTCCGACCCTTGATAATACATCTGATATTGTTTCATTAAGCATTGAGGACAGAAAAAGAAAGAAACTCAATACTTAGTGGTCTGATTATTTAGTTGACGTTGGTGATATAATTAATAACGTTTTGAAATGTATTTATGGCTTTATATTTATATGGTTTAAAATTTATTTATAATTATATATTTATTATTATGATATGAATATAATATAGTATAATAAGTAGTGATTAATTAGTTTATTAACATTGTCTTTAAAAATAATTATTTACAGCTAATTTACATATAATTTACAGTTTCTTTGTAAAAAGTTGTTTTATTTTCAACACTTAATCAACACAATTTAATTTTTGTTTGAAAATAGTGATAAATAATTGAGCCATAACATTTTTTTATCAAATTTCTATTCATAATTATATTTTTGTTTAATAATAGAAGTGTTTCGCTTTTTTTTCATTGGCCCTGTCGTCAAAACTACATGAAATTAGAGTTTCGTGTCCCATTGTTTTAGTAGTCCCTGTTGTATTCTTTCTAAAAACAGTCCTCTGGGGCAGAACCGCATAGACAAACAAGAGGCACAACCGCATATTTTTGGTTTTTCTATTCAAGTTTTTCATGTAAAAACTTGAATGGAAATAGTTTTGTCTTGAGATTTTGGAAATTAGATTTCGTATTTTTTACTTAATTTTTATGAGTTTTTGAATAAAATATAAAGCTAAGAGTATATTGAATGAGAAAACTCAGACTGTAAGTACAAAGTATGCAAACGTGCAACAAAATCAGCGAATAATCTGAGCTGTGACTATTGTAAAGAAAATGTACTCAGAAAAGTGTACCCCAACGAGTGTACTACCTTTTTGTAAGGGTACGGTTGTGCCTCACAATAGGCATTTTCGGACCAAAATAATACCGGAACCGAAATAGGAACCAAAAAATCCTGTCAGAGTTGTGGCCGGAACTGGAACCGAACCGAATTTTAGTTGATCACTAGTACCGACAGTGAATTACTTATGAAGGTATAGGTTTTCGATACGATCTCGAAGTACACGTAAATATTTCTGAACAAGCGTTTTTTGATACAATGTAGTGTTAGCAGTTAACAAGTTAACATTAAATATAACCAATACAAAATAGATTTTTTTCAACCCGATCTTCAAAAAACGTTTTCTACCTCGAAATCTACCTAAAATTCTTATTGAACATATATATAAAAATTCTTATTGAACATAAATTAAAAGAGATTCTGTAACTAAATACCTGGGGGTTTTTATTAACGAGAACATCACAGGGAAACATCATATTAACTTGAAAAACATCATATTGCTCGAAAGTTTCAAAAAGTATCGAAATTTTATATAAGACGCGTACTCATTAAGATAAAAATAATTTAACTAAACTTTATTACTCTTTTATTCACAGTTATATAAGTTATGGAGTTATTGCCTGGGGTAGCACTGATCAAAGCAAGTTACAATGTCTCTGTCGCCGTCAGAAACATGCGATCCGTTTAATTAATTCTGCGGATCAGTTCGCATATTCCTCAATACTTTTTAATCAAATGAAAGTCCTCGATATATATAAACTAAACGTATATAAAAATTTATCTTTTGTTTATACGTGGAAGCATGATTTATCTCCTTTAATTTTTAAAGATCTTTTTATTTTGAAACCATTAAGCAAGTTTAACATGAGGAATAATAATTATTTATACGAACCATTCTTTCGAATAAAAATTCAATTAATTTTGTATCACTTATCGTGCAGCTCATCTTTGGAACAAAATTATTTTGCCTAACTTCGGCTTACCCCTAACTTATCCTGTTTTTAAAAATAAATTAAAAGACCTCATTCTTTCTATTTTTAATATATCTTTATTTTTAATATATCTTTTTAATATATCTTTAATGTATATATAATCAAAAAGATATAGCAAATCAGATAAATAACTATTATATAACTGTTGGTCCAATCTTAGCTAAAAATATTCAATTATAACTAACTCAACAAATTATTTTACCCTTCCCATAATTTCCGTACTAAATAATTTTGAAATTTCCATGAAAGAATTTGAATGTGCTTACAAAATGCTAAAAACCAATAAAACAAAAGGCCCGGATGTAATAAATAGTAACATTTTAATTGCATCTTATGAGAACATAAAAACTATTCTTTTTCAAGTGTTTAGTTGTTTAATAAAACAGGGGATATTTCCTGACCAACTAAAGATCGCCAAAGTTTCACCAATTTTTAAATGAGGGGAACTATCAAATATAACTAATTATCGTCCAATTTCTGTACTCTCTGGTTTTTCAAAAGTTTTTGAAAGAATTCTTTACAATAAAATATATGATCATCTTTCTAAAAATAAAATATTAAATACCAGTCAATATGGATTTAAAAATAATAATTCCACTGAACACGCAATACTTCATTTAACTAGAAATATTGCAGATTCGTTTGAAAAATCACAATTTACTCTTGGCGTTTTCATTGATCTATCAAAAGCTTTTGATACGATAGATCATGAGATTCTTATTCAAAAACTTAAAAACTATGGAATCAGCGGACATTTTCTAAATTTGCTAAAAAGCTATTTAAGCAATCGTAAACAGTTTGTGCAAATTGATGTATCCTCCTCTACAAATTTGCTAGATATAACATGTGGCGTTCCACAGGGGTCTATACTGGGGCCACTCCTTTTTCTCGTCTATGTTAATGATCTGCATAATGCCTCAAATTTAACGATAGTGATGTTTGCCGATGACACTAACCTTTTTCTGTCTAGTAGTGATATTGTTACACTTTTTAATGACATAAACATAGAGTTAGTTAAAATTTCAAATTGGTTTAAGACAAATAAATTATCAATTAACTTAGAAAAAACTCAATGGACTCTATTTCATCCTAAATCCAAAAAAAACTTTTACCAAATGATATGCCTCAAATATATATTGACAATGTTCAAATAAAGCAATCAAAAGTTATACATTTCCTAGGTGTTTTCATTGATGAAAACTTAACATGGAAAAATCATATCGAAACATTATGCAATAAAGTCTCAAAAAATATTGGAGTGTTGTATAAAGCGAGAAATTTTGTAAATAGACATGCATTAATTCAACTTTATTACTCGCTAATCCAATGTCATGTAAACTATGCTAACATTGCGTGGGGTAGTGCTAATAATAGTCAATTAGAACCTCTTTATCGGCAACAGAAGCATCTAGCACGTCTAATAAATTTTAAAGCTATATTAATTTAATACTCATGCAAAACCTCTTTTAATAGACATGAATATTCTTTATATATATCAACTAAATGTTTTTAATGTTCTTTGCTTTATGTACAAATGTAAGATAAACTTAACCCCAATATTTTTTCAAAATTTATATGCAATAAAGCCAAGAAACAAATATGAATTAAGAAATGACAATCTTATTCATCAACATTATTCGCACACAAATTTTGGAAGATCTCTTATATCATATTGCGGAGCTTTTCTGTGGAACCAAATAGTGTTAAAAAACTTTGATTTTTCTAAAAATTGTAGTTTTCTTACTTTCAAAGATAAACTGAAAAAAAATATTTTGACAATTGATAACATCTTCGAGTTTTTTTGAATATTTTATTTAAATATTTAGTTTTATTACATATTTTGACAGTTTTTAACGGTATTTTATGTTTGGTTTTGGCTTATTAAAAGTCTTGTATTGTAAATATCGGTATTTTGTTTTTATTTATTTTGTATCGCATTGTTAAACGGTTCTCGGTGACAGGATCTTGCCATCCCCTTCGAGTTTCCGTGTTCTTTTTATTTTATGTAAAACGATATTATACCAAATAAAATTGTAATAAGAACAAAATAAAAAAATAAAAAAATTTTGTGATAAAAAAATAATAATTTTTATTGTCATGTATGTTCAAGTTTTGTTTTATACTTGTTTACAATTTATTTTTATTTATGTAAATACAATTTATTGTTTTTATAATATATTTTACGTACTCTTGTTGTAAAAAGGCGTTTTTATAACATTTTACGTACTCTCTTTTGTTCTCTTCTGATGATAAGATCATGGTGATCTTCTTTTAGAAGATCACAATGATTTGTGATCGCCACTAACTAGTCCAACTAAAGAGTCCAGCATTAAATGAGGTTGTTTGTATTTGAAAAATATGTAATTTATATATATTACGTCAAATGTAAACAAAACAACAACAAAAACGAAAAACAAAAAAAAACAAAAACAGCAGAATTGGTTTTATATAATAATCTGTCAGGGTTTCTACCTGTGGTTTGAAAAATTTTGAAGCTATTGCATGTGTTAGGTTAGATAGGATTTTTTAAAGTAATTTTATATTTGTTTTATCAACAAGCTCTTTGATATTGTGACAGATAATGAATTGGTGTGAGTTTATTGCATCAATCTCAATAACTTTGAGTGATTGTTTGTGGAGTAGTTGTTACTCTTTTTTTGCTGCAATATTACAAGACGAGAGTATAGGGGCGCTGTACAGAATGTGAGATGGATCTATAAAAGTGCCTAGGATCTATAAATTTGAAATAGGTATAATTGAGTGTGACCAATCTTTTTCAGGCGCTTTGGTAAGTTAGGTTCTGACTTAATAGTATTATGAACTTTCATCCATTGATCATCCCAGTTAAGATTTTTAATTATTAGGGTTCCTAGGTACTTGTAGCAATCAACTGATTTGAGTTTAGAATTTAATAGAATTGGCGAAGAAATTGCAACTTGATTAGGGTGACGACTCTCTATCGATGTTTTGCACTTAAAATGATTGAGTTTCATGCCATTAGCAGTAGCCCAATTCGCTACGCCGTCCATAACAATTGATGGAGCAAGTGTGATGATGAAAATTGGTAGGTTGATGTTTTTTTATCAACAGACTATGTTATATATAATATGGATCCGGTAATAGTAACCACAAGTAGTATTCCATGGAATACAACTTGCGGTTATTATTACCTCGCACAAGAAAAATAATGTAAAAGTTAAAGAACTGTTGATTACGTATGAAAATTGTGAAGAAGATGAATAAGATATCACTGATGGTGATAAAGTTATACATGAAGACTTCGATTTGATTTTAACTTTAAATCAATCATTTTCCTGATTAGTTAGTAATTACTAAGATCTTGCATGGATTCTTTATTGTCTTCCTGATATGGTGGAACAATTTCTTTGCATCAGAATAACCTTTCACAAATAAAGAATGGTCTCAAATCAAA